GGCTGAGCCAGCGACTCTCGGTTCTATCGCGTCGCAGATGGAAGCTGCAGCAGCAGCAGCAGCAGCAGCAACAGCACGAAGACAGCGAAGACATGCAGAAACAGATGAGCAGCAACTCACATGGGATGCTGCTGCTGCTGCTTTGTCTTATGGAAAAAGCAACAGCAGCAGAACTGCATGCACAAGGTTTCTTGCTGCAGCAGGAGACTGTCTCCTCGAGCTGCTGCTACCCCTCTGGGAAGACTTCAGAGGAACGGCCCTCGTAAGGGTTTAGGGTTTAGGGTTTAGGGTTTAGGGTTTAGGGATAGGTCCAATGGTTTAAAGGCTAGCACTTATTACGGTTTAGGGTTTAGGGTTTAGGGTTTAGGGTTTATGTTTAGAGGCAGATTTGCTCTCGGGCTTCTGCTCTGTCCCCTGCAGAGTGTGTTCCTTTCCGGGTGCTAGGGTTTATGGTTTAGGGTTTAGGGTTTAGGGTTTGGGGTTTGGTTGCTTTGTTTGTTATATATTTTTGCAGCCGCAGTTGCTGCGCGAGGTCCTTCATCCCCGCTTCAGTCCGAAGACATCTCTCTTAGATAAGATCATCCGTCTGAAGCAGCAGTCTGCTGCAGTTCTTGCTTCTCTCAGCGGCTCCTCAACCCCACCAGCAGCAGCAGCAGCAGCAGCAGCAGCAGCAGCAGCAGCAGCAGGTGCAGCAGCAGGAGGTGCAGCAGGAGGGGGAGGAACACCAGCAGCAACAGGAGTCCAATTTTCGGACCCGCAGCAGCAGCAGCAGCAGCAAGCGCAGCAGCAGCAGCAGCAACAGCTGCTGCTGCAGCAGCTGCTGCTGCGGCAGCAGAGTGAATCCGGGGACTCTTCATTGCCTGAGGCGGGGGCCCCCACACCACCAACAACACTGAAAGAGGATTTCGGGTGTACACGCATCTCTTGCCCCGAAACGGGCAGCCAAAAGCTGCAAAAGAGATCCGCGCTGCGGCTCGGGTTGATGTCTTTCTTAGAAGAAAAAGGAA